CATCATAAAGATGCACACAACTATCTCAGCGTGTATATATAATCCTCATCTTTCTAAACCTCGCTTTCTCTTCCCTCTCCCGCTACATTGATGGTGCACTATACCAGAAAAACCCTTTGCTGAAACCCTCCCCTCAGAGCGTATATATAAGTCCACTGACAGAAGTTTAATAGGTTTTGAGCAAGCATGTACTCCCTCCGTCCGAAAATACTTGTCATAGAAATGGATACAAATGGATGTATCTAGAACTAAAATACATCTAGATACATCCATTCCTTGGACAAGTATTTCCGGACGGAGGGAGTAGCAGACAAGACTACTCTAGTTAGGTCAACATTGCATGAAAGATAAGATCATGCATGTTTTTCCTAATTTCTTTGACATCCAGCTTCATACCTGCATTTCCAACGGTCAAGTTCTGTTTGATCAAGTTAATTTAATCAGGAGTAAAAGCACATATTTCACGCGACAAGACACACATTTTGAGCCGATAGATCAGAGTTTTATGTCAGACATGATATTAGTGATCATATTTAATTACTAGCAATAAAGAGTAAATTTTCAAATATCACCATAATTGCCGAAGACTGCTCAAAAACTATCGTTTCGCTAACGGTTTGCAAAGACCAACAATTTTGAGTATTTTGTTTTTGCCAAAAACACTGAACGCTCGGTTGAGTGCGTTTTGACAAGAAATTTGAATGGTGGGTTCCGCCGTCAGGTCTACATGTCACAAGGAAAATGGATAGATGAGACTGACATTAAGCAAAACCGATCAACCCCTCTTCTTCCTACCCGAGTGGTGTTTGGCATTTCGCCGAACACCTAGATGCCACAAGCCAGTGGTGCTGCTGGTACAACCCAGTTGTTGCTGTCACCGGCGAACGGCAGCAGGTCTCGGCGACCATCGGGGCTTGGTCCAGGCCAACATGAGCGGAGCTAGCGCATCAGGCATAGCTTTGGCGTGGGCTGCTTGCGAGACCATGGCTTCCGGTAGCCAAGCCGCGTCCGAATGGCGACGAGGACGCTCGCATGTGGGGCTCCAGTGACAGATGATGAGAGGGCCAGGACGAGGGATGGATCTCAGTACATCTGGTCGAGGTAATCAACACCGAGCACGGAGCACCGTCAAAGCGCAGAGCGCAACTTTGGTGGGAGGTCACCATACACGGCCCGACGTCTATTCGACAGTTGTGGGCTAAATGACACTGGTTCAGCGCCGCACCATGGTGGTGGCGCGCATCATCCATATCTACCAACGCAGCGAGATGAACAAAACCACACCTCGATGTTTAGCTCGGGGACTCCCTAGCCGACACTGGGTCACCAACAACCTGCTCATGTCCAGCCCGCTCTCATTCACCATCATCTGTTGCTTCCCCTACGGCATGACCTACTTCCACCATCCCAAGGGATGCTACTCCGACAACCACCACCGATGGGAGCCTGAACATGCCCGCCCGGCCATCTCAAGGTCTATTGCCGACGCCCTAGCCCGCATTGCCCCTGCCCTTAGACACGCGACCGCGCCACTGCGGCCACCCTCGACGGTGTTGGCACAGCCCGAGGAAAAAGAATACTCTCTCACACACAAAGGTAGAAGAACACACACAGAGGCTTGGCACCGCACACAACTTGTGCCTTTTTCTCTTGTATTCTCACACTTGCAATGCAATTACATAATGGCTTAAATAGCCGGAAGCACACGGCTAAAACGCAGCCACTCACCCACTAACTCCATGCACACACACGCACAGACCACAACTGTCTGACCCGGTTACTACTCAACTAAACCCACGTCTAGATTGAGTCACTTCCAAGTTTCTGCAGATCAACTAGGAGTTCACGCAGCCGGCGCATGCCATAACTGATTTTGCCCGCTTCTTTCTCCACCTCTTTCTGCTACGCAACTCGGCCGCTTGGACTCCACGGAACTAGACGCATGCAGCTGGCCTATCCATGCAAACTACTAACAAACTCAACAGGACACACTACTGACTTGCATACACACACATGATCTCTTCTCTACGTGAGTACATGCCCACAGCCAGGTAGGTTGGACGTGACAACATGCATGACACTGCTAAATAAACATGATGAAAAACAAAACAGCAAGGTTAATTCTAACAATCACCCCCTTAACCTTGTTGTCGTTTATTCGGATGCCTCCATGTCGACCTTCAAAGCAGCGCCGGCTCGTCGTCGGCAGTCGCGGCGGCGAGATGGGCCTGCTCCTTCCTTGGCGCCGTGCAGTTCCTTGAGAAATGCCCGTAGTCTTGGCAGTTGTAGCAGCGAACCTTGCGGATGTCGAAGGTACTCTTCTTCTTGCTGGCGCCACGACGGTTCTTGTCACGAGCAAGCCACTCCTCCTCCGTGAGGAGCAGCTGAGTGCCGCCGTTGTTGCTGCCTGCCTCGTCCATGTCGAAGCTCTCCTCCATGGCCAAGAAGCGACCCGTGAGCTCTTCAATCGTCAAGGTCTTGAGGTCGAGTAGCGACTGGATGGAGTGCGCGAGCTGCCGGTAGCGCGGCGGCACGCAGCGGAGAAACTTGAGCACCGCCTTGTGCTCGGTGATGCCGTCGCCGAGGGCCTCGAGGTCGTTGACGATGCCGGTGAGGCGGACGGCGAACTCCTCCATCCTCTCGCCATCCTTGAACCGGAGATTCTCGAACTCCAATCGACGCGACTGCGCCCGGGCTTTGCGGACACGCTCGGACCCCATCCTCAAGGTCTTGAGGGCGTCCCAAGCCTCCTTTGCCGAGTCCTTCGTAGCCAAGGAGCGCAACATCTCCGGCGGCACAGCCTGGAGGATGATGCCCAAAGCTTCACGATCGTCGCGGTAGTCGATGAAGGCGCCATGCTCGACCACCTCCCACAGGCCTTGCGCCTGCAGCCGCACTCGCATGACGAGCGCCCACTCGGTGTAGTTCGTGCGGGTCAGCGGGGGGAGCTGCACCATCGACGAGGTTTGCCGGACGACGCGCTCAATGACGCGAACCTCGCCGCTGCCGCTGCCGTCGGTGAGCCGCGCCTTCGGTGGAGTCACCGGCTCCCCCGGCTTCACCTTGGCCAGCTCCGCCGCCTTGGACGCATCATCTCCCTCGGTGCCGGCCATCACAGGGACGGATCAAACCCTAGCTCTGTATACCAAATGTTGGCACAGCCCGAGAAAGAAGAATACTCTCTCACACACAAAGGTAGAAGAACACACACAGAGGCTTGGCACCGCACACAACTTGTGCCTTTTTCTCTTGTATTCTCACACTTGCAATGCAATTACATAATGGTTTAAATAGCCGGAAGCACACGGCTAAAACGCAGCCACTCACCCACTAACTTCATGCACACACACGCACAGGCCACAACTGTCTGACCCGGTTACTACTCAACTAAACCCACGTTTAGATTGAGTCACTTCCAAGTTTCTGCAGATCAACTAGGAGTTCATGCAGCCGGCGCATGCCACAACTGATTTTGCCCGCTTCTTTCTCCACCTCTTTCTGCTACGCAACTCGGCCGCTTGGACTCCACGGAACTAGACGCATGCAGCTGGCCTATCCATGCAAACTACTAACAAACTCAACAGGACACACTACTGACTTGCATACACACACATGATCTCTTCTCTACGTGAGTACATGCCCACAGCCAGGTAGGTTGGACGTGACAACATGCATGACACTTCTAAATAAACATGATGAAAAACAAAACAGCAAGGTTAATTCTAACAGACGGGAGCCTGAGCTTGCCCGTCCCAGCTACCTTGGCGTCCATTGTCTTCACTGCCCCCTCCCCTAGGACGGCAACGGAGCTTGCCTGAGATGCCCGGCGTGGTTGGAGGCGGAGCTTGTGGCGCCGGAAGGTCGAGCGCCAGATCTCGGCTCACGTGTAGGTGAAGCCGTGGCCGTCAAAGGCGGACGAGCCGTAGGTAGGGAAGGAGCGGCGCCATGGGGGAGGCTGGGTGGGTCTGGGTTAGAACTTCACGAGCAAAAGGGACATGGGGGGAGAGAGAGAGAGAGAGGAGGGAGAGACTGTTAGGTGGGCTCTTCGTCAAGTTAAGCTTTCAATCAAACGGTGTAAGATTTTGGTGCCAAGTCGGCCCTGATAGCGGGACCTACAACTCAATTTCTGTCAAAATGCGCTCAACCAAGCGTTTAGTGTGTTCGATAATTATTTTTTACTCAAACCCACTGACAAAAATATAGCGTGCCGCAAATAGCACGCTATAGCGTCTAGAGAATTGTCTCGCTAAATTGACGTACAATGTCTCGCTAATAGCATATTTTCAGGGGCGGCGCTGTTTTGTATAGCGCGGTATTATTTTCCTTGCTCAAAACACAGGTGGTTTTTGCAAACTGATAGCAAAAACGGTGTCTTTTGAGAAGTTCCGACAATTTTGATAATTTTTTGGCAATTTACTTAGGATTGAACGAGTAGAATATTCAGCCTATGTGAAGGCACGCAGTCAGCACTTGTTTGGTTGGGCTTTATTTCTATATAAAAATAAAACAAAACAATGCTTAAAACTGCGACACTTATTATGTATCAGAGGTAGTAGTAATTTTTCTTCCAGGTGAACAAATAATACTTGCGCAGACAAGACATGGGCATGCATGCAGCTGGATGATTCCCCGCAGAGGTGGCGTCATTTTCAGTCCTAGGTCGCCACACGAATTAAGATTCCTTTCACTGAGCATGCACACTCGTCCGAGGTTGGCGGCCAGGCTGGCCCGATGGCGGCAGGGGAGGTGACTCCAAGAGTTGGCGCGTGGGAGCGGCCGGCGACTGGGCGACGACTTGGACCTAGGACTACCCAGGAGGCGATGCGACCCACCGGAGCAGCCGAGCCGTGCAGTTGTGATCCCGCAGGTTGGCGACTGGGTGGTGATGCGTCGCGCGCCGTCGCCTATAAAATGCTCGTTGCCTCACGAGCAGATAATCTCACCACCTCACGAGCAGATAATCTCACCACCTCACGGGTAGTCATCGACTCATTGTGGCCATGGTCTCGCCTGCTGCAAGCAGAGGCAACACGCACCTCCTCCTGCTCCTTCTCATGGCTGGCTTGCACCTATCTGGAGCCCAAACTCCCGTCCCCGCCCCCTCTCCGACTCCCGCTCCAGTGACAGTGGCCCCTCCTATCCTTCCGGCTCCGGCCGCAGATGCCCTTCCTCCTCCTCCCGCTGCAGTCGCAGATGTCTTCTCGTTCAGCTTCGACTTCACCGACAAATCCAACTACCGCCAAGACGACCTCAAGTTCGAGGGCGACGCTTCCGCGCACCCCAACCAGGTCGATCTCACCTGCAACACCGCAGGTTGCGGTTTAGTGGGGCGCATGTCGTACGGGCACCCAGTGCCCTTGTACGACAGCACCACCGGCGAGGTGGCCAGCTTCCAAACGAGCTTCACCTTCTCCATCACCACCGACAACTACACTGCCAGGGGAGATGGCATGGCTTTCTTCCTCGCCTATTTCAATTCCACGATGCCTTCGCCCTCCTGGGGGGGCTGCCTCGGCCTCACGTCCCAAGATGGAAACGGCAATTGCCTGACTGCCTTGGACACCGACCAGTTCTTGGCCGTGGAGTTCGACACGTTCCACAACACCTGGGACCCCAACAGCGACACCGCCTACGACCACATCGGCATCGACATCAACTCCATGATCTCGTTGGACGACACAACAAGCTTGACGAGCTTCAACATGAGCGACTGCAGCTCCATGACGGCCACCATCACCTTTAACAGCACCACCCAGATCCTTGTCGCCGACCTGTCCGATGACGCTAGGCGGTATCTCCCCGTTCAGATGAGCACGAAGTTACTCGAGCCGCTCAACACATTGTTCCCGGCTCAAGTCGCAGTGGGGATTTCTGGGGCCACTGGCAGTGCCAACGACACGGAGGGACATGTGATACAATCATGGTCCTTCAACTCGTCCCTTGCTCTGCCCCACAAAGGTATTATAACTCTTATACACAGTTATTTATTTATCAGAAAAACTAACGCCCACACGTGTGGGCGTTTGCACATCGCCCACACGCCTCCATCACCACTCATTTACTTATCGAAAAAACTAACGCCCACACGTGTGGCCGTTTGCGCACCGCCCACACGCTCCATCACCACTCATTTGCCATGTATGAATAGATGACATCAGCAGAAATCTTTTTGGTTTTTGGCTTAAAAATGTTTTATCTCCTAATTAAAAAAGCGAATTAAAAATCCGTTTTCACCATTAAATCCGTCTCGACGAGATCTTCAAAACTAGACCCCATGTTGATATGTTTCGACGAATTTTTTTTTGCCCAGAAGTTGCCATGATATTTCCACTATAGTTGCCATAGTGCTTAAACTAAAGTTGCCATGTGGCAATTTTAGTTTGTAGATCATGGCAATTTTATTTTTTTGATGATGGCAACTCTAGTACTTTAACCATGAATTTTTTTATAAACCATGGCAATTTTAAGTGCATGTATCATGGCAATTTTAGTTTATGGTGCATAGCAAGTCTAGTTTCTTAATTCCCCGTTTTATAATATGTTAAATTTACTTTTAAATGTAAAAGAAAATAGTCGAAACATATCATGGCAACTTCAGTATAAATATTATGGAAATTCATGTGCAATAGACATGGCAACTTTTAACAAAAAACATTTCGCCAAAATATATCGATATGAGATCTAGTTTCGAAGATCTCGTCGTGAGGGATTTAATGGTGAAAACGGATCTTCAATCGGATTTTTCATTTAAGAGATAAAACATTTTAAAGACTGAAAATCCAAAAAGATTTCCACATGCATGCATGCGGTGACATGGCGCAGTCTGTGTGTTATATGACATGTGGGCGGATTTGGCTCCCACCACACGTGTGGATGTTAGCGTTGTCCTTACTTATTCGTTCAATTCAACACAATCGCTGGGAAAACATGATAAATCCGTCCAAAATTCGGCCATATATTTAACTACAAGTAACAGAGTAACATGTATTTTATGTTGCACCGAACAAAACCAAAACTTCTCATAAAATATCTTTAAAAAACAAAAACACACATAAAATATACCTAAATGCTTAATAGTGCAGATGCACTAATTGGGCTTCGCGAGGGCGTGCGGTACACGACAAAAAACTCACACTACAAAAAGGGTAATTAGCATTATGTGTCATCATTACACTAAAAAAGGAAAATATATGTTCCTCATCCCATCGAACTCGCTCCCTACTTTGCACAAATCAGTCAAGAAAGGACAATTTCGTGCATTTATTTGGCTTAATAAAATTTTAAAAAGCCATAACTTTTGATTCAAGTAACGGTATTCAGATTCGTTTTCACCTTGGATTTCTCGCGACGAGTTCTTGGAAACTAGATCCCCTATGGTTATGTTTCGACAAACTTTCAGTTTTGAGTAACTTTGGGTGCTAAAGAGGCAACTTTAGTGTTACAGGAAAGCAACTGCTTCTTAGTTTGCCTATTATGATTGCCTATCAACAAGAAGTCATTATAAGCTTCCTCCCGTGACTATCATGTTCACTAAATTTACAAATAAATTGTCCCCACATGCTTAATAGTGCAGTTGCATTATTTGGAGACGTCGTGCGCACCCTCCCGAGCCATTCGATTTGGCATGAATCGCGCATAGGTGCTTTCCTATCTGGTGTGGCGACCGAAGGTATGGTGAGACCCCTTCCAAAAAAACATAAAAGAGATAAGCACGACAGTTCGAGGAAGCGCCGCCCCCACCCCCACCCGCACTTCCACCCCTTTTTTCTGTCGATTACCGTGGAAGAGATGGATGGAGAAAGGGGAGGGGATTCGCTCGCGCCCCACCGTGATTCGCCGTCGGAGGGAGGCAGCAGATGGCTTCGGCGACCACACGGATCGTGGCTGGATTCCGGTAAAACTATCAAACAACAAAAGCAACAAAAACACACAGAAAAAGACACCTGGATCCATTTTTATGCACAATACATGGAAGATAAGATAGTTGTCCACAATTAACCATACAGTTGCCTAAAAACATGTATCTCACTGCCCAATCCTCATGAACATAAACATTACCAAGACCACGATTTGGCCGATATATAAAGGCTTTTAGATACCTTTCAATTAAGTTGTGTCACAATGGTGTGTCAAGAATTTCTTATCTTCGGGTGGGATCCAATGGTATGATCGTAAACACTTGGCGAATGATCATAGAGGGTGGCGGGGTGGAGCTGGTCACGGGGACATAACTAATACCATGAAGTTTTTTATGGTATTAAGTTTATCTGTGAGCCCCTAAAAAAGGAACATGTGTATGGTCGTTATCCATTTTTCAGGTGTCATAGTTTCCCACAATCAGCTATACAGTTGCCTAGAACCATGTATCCAGTTGCCCAATCCTCATGAGAAGAAACATTACCAAGTCCATAATTTGGCTAATATGTAAAGGTTTTCGATACCTTTCAATTAATATTGTGTCATAGAGATGCATGAAGAATTTCATCTCCTCGGGATGGGATCCCTTGGTATGATCGTAAATACTTGACGAATGATAATAGAGGGGGAGCGGTGTGGAGCTGGTCATGGGGACATTACTAAAATCACAAAGTGTTTTTAGGGGATTAAGTTTATCCGTGACCCCCCTCCAAAAATGAACATGTGTATGTTCTTTATCCCTTTTTTCAGGTGTCATAGTTTCCTACATTAACGATACTGTTGTCTAAAATCATGTATCCAGTTGCTCACAATCAACCATACACTTTTCTAAAATCATGTATCCAGTTGCCCACAATCAACCATACAGTTGTCTAACATCATATATCCAGTTGCCCACAATCAACCATATAGTTGTCTAAAACCATGTGTCCAGTTGCCCGATCCTCATGAACATAAACATTACCAAGACCATAATCTGGCTAGGATGTAAAGGTTTTAGATACCTTTCAAGTTTGTGTCACAAAGATGCATCAAGAATTGATCTCTCGGGGTGGGATCCCTTGGTACGATTGAAAATACTTGGCGAATTCTGCTCCTCTGTGTCTAAGGAGATGGGATCCGTCTTGATGTCGAAGGGAGCAATGGACGCCGAGGGGCCCCAAGAACGCCCCCTCGTCGTTCAGTTTGGACGATTTTGGACGTACAGACTTGTTCAAACAAATTAGGTGACCGTTATTGGATGGTTAAAGGTGTCTAGAGAGGCCGATCCCGACGTTTGGGGTGATTGGGTGTCCTTATGGTAGGCAACTTAGAGGTGAAGCTAGTCAATTGGTAGTCATGGTAATCAACTTTTTTAAGGGAAGGCCATCATGTCTAGCTTTATTGAAATAAAACAGAAGTTACATCATCTAGAAGTTTAGAGACAAGATAGCCAGGAGGCTCATCTGTCCTGCTAAGAGAAACTTTATTACAATAATGAAAACTAGCTAGCACATGTGCCACTTGATTTGAAGAACGAAAACAAGGCTTAAAATTGACATTCCCAATAGTCGTTGCCACATCCACACACTCTGCAAAAATAGCAGCTGCTACATCCCACCATTTCAATTGACTAGTGCAAAAATCTACCACATGAGAAGAATCAGACTCTGCTTCAACTCGAGGAGATCCCAAAATGTAACTTAGAAGTATCCTCTGCTGATAGGTAGTCATACTAGGGGTAAAAATGTGTTGCTTTCCTATAGCACTAAAGTTGGCTCTGTAGCACACAAAGTTGCTCAAAAAAAGGTCATCGAAACCTACTCATAGGGATCTAGTTTTGAAGAACTCATCGCGAGAACCCAATAGTCAAAACAGATCTAAATTCCGACATTCGAATCAAAAGTTATGACTTTTTAATTTTTTTTTGAAACCCCACATAAATGCACGTGGTCTCTCGGCTCAGGTAACCTGAGGATGGGAGACTATGTACTGTCCTTTTTTGATAGGCTAGGATGACATGTCACATCAATTTCCTAATGTGATGGGTGTGCTCGAGCAGTCCATCGAGTGCCCATGCGCTGCCTAGCCATGTCCTAAAGTATAAGCTTCCAAACATTTAGCGCCACTTGATAAAATGGAAATTCGCACTGTCACGCAGATGCGGGTGCACGCACCTGCCTGACCACCTGATTGCCTCACGATTCACAAAGTAGATGGATCCTACACGGGGACACAATACGTTTTAGGTTTTAATAGTTGAAACTTATGATTTTCTAGGCCGTCTGTATCAAGTTTCAGAGGTGAAACTTTAAGCAAATTTCTTTTTGTTGGTCACAGGTACTAAATTTGTGATTTTATTGGACGTTTGTACTAAGATTGAATGGTTCAAACTTAATTTTTAAAACTCGTCAAAACATATATTCAAAATGGATCTTATTTGAAAGCCATCGCCATGAGAAACACGGATATGAAAACAGAACTTAATTTCAACTTTTCATTCAAAAGATATAAAAGATTAAAATCGCAAACAAAAAAGAACACGCGAGAGGAACTCGGTGCCCGCGCACCTGCGTGCTACAAATCCTCTCATCTGGATAAAAGGGCATGCATCCATAGAGACAATGATACAATGACTGCACCTCTAGCTTCCAAACATAGATTTATTGTATCAATCCACCTATAATGAAAAGATTTTCTAGCGGAACCAATTTCTACTGGACATGTTGCTGCCGTCCATCATTGTTGGGATGTGTACACGTATTACTCTATTAATTGCTATGCCATACATTGTCTCATACATATATACATCATACTATCTTCTCTCTTCTTCAACCCATCTACATTTCTTACCCACGTATGTCACGTGTGGGATAGCTAGTGAGGAGGCCCCACATGAGAGTGACTAATGGGTATGTTTGGAGTCAAAAGATCGTATTACATCTCAACCACCCATGCTTTTCAGTTTGATTATATAGTTTGTACTAACTATATCTTTTGAACCAAATATCCGATTGACAAACTGTTTGGATATTAGTATCCATAATATTTAAATCTTAAAACCAATATCAATATTGAATACATTTGAAACAATACCAATTTCAAATTACGGAACTACATCAAAATTTATATGAAACTATTTCACTTGTGTTTTATCATTTTTTACATGTTTCATTTTTTTCATTAGATGTTTTTATTGCTTTTTCATTCTGGATTTTAGTATTATTTCATTCAGGTTTTGTTTCTATTTTTAGAACCTTGAAATAAGTTTTCCTATCATTTTGTTACATTATCTTTCATGATTGGGCTGGGCTCTTAAAAGTATTATTTTCACATATTTTTAATACAACTTCATTTCCGGATTTTAGTATGGGTGCATGTACGGTGAGGTGAAAGAAAAAAAATGTTGAGTGCAATAAAGTCCTGCTTCTAAATAGTGGGCGGGTCCCAGGAAGAAAGGAGAAACCATATATAATAAAGGAAATGAATCAAATACTTCGTGTGTGATATGTGAACGTGAACACACATACTTCGATTGGCGAGGAGGACACCAGTAGAAACCAGTTTCGCTAGAAAATGCTCTCTCGTCACCGCTAGCTTCTTCCGGCCTGCAGCACAATAGAGACAATGACCGCACAACTCCCTCTCCCGCTGCCACTGCTAACCACTCTTGTCGGTGACATGGATCCATTTTTTTGTGCTCCTTCCACCCTAGTTTGTGGGCTCTCATTCATAGCATTCCAAGCTCCTTGGTTCGTCTCCTCAAAGCACACAAATATAGATCTCGACAGAGCATCTTCTTAAATTTCGACCATGTTGTCGACTTAGGTGTCTCCACTCTCAACACAGAATTCCATGAATTTGGTATGGGAGTCCCAATCCCAACGAGAAGCACTCTGTCATGAGTAGGATGAAACTAACTGGAGGTATACTATACGAGCGTGCAAAAGACTGTATCGGCCTATGAGGGGCCCCCAGAAGAGGTGCCAGGGGGTTGGGGAGAAGGATGGCCACCGGAATGTATATCAGAATCTCAACCGCAAAAATAAATAAATTATATCAGAATCTGTAAAGAGATGTGCATCTACACATTTCCTTTACGAAAATATGGATACGGGAATTCATGGTTTTATCTAAAATTTAATATCTAAGCTTTGATATTCATGGTCTGGAGGTAAGTATCTATTAATATGGAAGAGAAAAATTTACTTGGACAATTGAATTAACATAATTAATTAATAGCTAGAGCTATTTACGCGCACGCAGGTAAAGACATGAAAGCAGCGGTAATTGGAGGGTCAACTGGAGGAGCTGTGGCGTTGGTGGTTGTGGTTTGGTGTATCCTCTCGTGCTTCAGGTGGAAAAAGAGCACTAGAAGCCATGATTTTGTGACACGAACTGGAGGACCTAGACAGTTCGACTACCGTGATCTGGCTTTTGCAACGGACAACTTCTCAGGGGAGAGGGTTATTGGGCGAGGTGCCTTTGGAGTAGTCTACAGGGCTACGTTGGTCTCCAAGGTATCCTCATCATCATCATCATCATCAGGTGTGCACTCGAGAGAATCGGCTGCATTGTCCTCCATGGAATCGGGTGTGTCATCGAACCCGAGCTCAAAGGAATCAGACGGCGGTGAGGTGGCTGTAAAGAAAATCTTGAATGAGCCCAGGGGAGGAAATCTTGACTTCTTCGCGGAGATGAGCACCATTAGCGCAGCAAAGCACAAGAATCTCGTCAAACTGAAAGGTTGGTGCTGCAAAGAAAACAGCCAAAACATGCTTGATTTCATGTGTTGGTGCTGCAGGAAGAAGAAAGATGACGACGAGCTCTTCCTTGTCTATGAACTGGTGCCTAATGGCAATCTGCATTACCACCTACGTGAGAGTGAGCAAGTGCTAGCATGGCCAACAAGGTACTACCACCATATAACATGCATTTTTTGTCCTTCTTATATTTATTTTTGAGGGGATTAATAATGGATGGTATTTTATCCATTAATTTGCCCGTCTGTTTGTCAGGTACCAAATTGTCAAAGATATTGGTTCTGCTCTTATTTACCTCCACCATGATTGTGCCCCTTACATTCTGCATAGAGATATCAAACCAAGCAACATACTCCTGGACAACAACTTCAATGCCAAGCTTGCTGACTTCGGGTTGTCGAGGATCGGCAACCAGGACAATGCGACATTATTGACAAACGCCATAGGGACGGAAGGGTACATAGATCCAGAATGCAGGAAAGTTGGAAAAGTAAAGTTCTACCCAAGCTCCGACGTCTACAGCTTCGGCATCGTCCTGCTAGACATTGTATGCACAGGGAAGTCCAGGGAGCAAGTCTGGGAGCTGTACATAAAAGGCAAGGTCATGGAGGCTGCAGATAGAAGGCTTCATGGCGGCGACGACTTGGACAAGAGGCAGATGCAGCGCGTGGCTATCCTGGGACTCTGGTGTTCTCTTCATGATAGTTCCATGAGGCCTACCATTAGGAAAGCAATGGAGGTCTTGGAACGTGACGAGCCGTTGCCTGACCTGAACTACTTGGTGAACACTTCGGTAACCTCGGCACAGCAAGACACCTACACCATTAGCTCTGACCAGCATGCACTTATGTCAGATGGGAGCTAAGATCTTTCGGTGAGCCACAAGCATGACTTTTGGGATGGTTACGTCAGTCAACGTGGACTGCTACACTATATATGCACATGCATGGATATAGCCGGCTCTCAATGTTCCTAGTTACCTACGATATCAACGTGGCGTGCATACTCCTTATGCATCTCACGGTTAATCTATGTTGCTTTTGCGGTTTGCATCATGTATTCATGTTGGACTTTGTCTGCAGTAAATGTTGGCTTGGCTATATGGGCAAATGTAATAAACAGTTATGATACTCAATATACGCATGTTTTTCTTTTTTTGCATTCATGTTGGTTTGACTATATAGAACGTGTGGGTGTAACAAAAAGGTTATGTGAAACGTGCATTGATGTTTACTGGCTGGTCTTGTTTGCATTTGTATTGGTTTACAGTTGTGTGTGTGTGCGTGCGCGTGCTTGTGCACTTCTGACAAAGACAAGCTAGCTGCTCCGGCGTAGGCGGATATGGAGAGCTTTGACGGCCACGATGCCTCCTTCATCATTTTTCTTCGGCCCTCATGCTCGGTGGCTGAGATAGTGGAGCAAGCTAGTAGGGTTGTGTGGTGCCCATGAAAATTTCAAAGTTGGAGTTTTGAA